CAGCTGTTCCCCGTGGTTCCAAAGCCTCAACAGTAAGTCTTTGGGGTTCAGCCCGGCACGTGTTGCAAGAAGAAAAAGATCATTTACCAGTGTGTATTCCACCCAAGAAGAACACTCATAAAAAGAAGGAAAAGCAATGCTTTAAAAACCCTTGTTTCCCCCGTTAACATACACTCAAAAAAAAAAAGAAAACAAATTTTCATATGATTCACCAACTTCTGTTATTGCAGTCATTGTGATCAAGTAATACGGAACATCACAATGAGATTGATCAAAAACAGGCGAGGGATCATATATAACTCAATAAAGCAATTTAATTAAAGCCCAAATAAATTAAAGTGATGTGTAGAAATCAAAAAAAAAAAAAAAATCGTATTATCGCGTTCCACACAAATGTATATAAGAGGCTGAGCTCATGGAGCCATTATCATAGAGAGTGTCAAGAAAACAAACATAACACTCGCAAAAGCGGAAGCTTTAAAAGAACCATCAGTGCCTTTTCCCGCAATAATATTATTATTCTGCCCACTCAAAAATGAGGTAATGTCTTCTTCCTTAGTTTCACTGGGTTTTGCTTCTGTGGTCGTACTTGCCCCACTTTGTTGCACCGTTGAAGTAACTCCCTGGTTACCATCATTTTCACTTGGTTTGGGGGTTCCAGTAGCCTCAGTGGCTGGTTGAGTACCATCCGACAGTGCAGTGGTTGTCTCACCATCTGGTAGACTTGTTTGGACTTCTTCAACAATGTCTGGGTCTTTTGATGGACCTTGTGATTCATCCAGAGTTTTGTTGATTGTATTGCACACATCAGCGTATTTAGGGCACACAATTTTACCCTGCAGTACACTCCCATTCACAGTTAGATTTTCTCCTTCATGACAACTGTGCCACTCATTGTTTCCACTGTACCGCACAATTACCTTTTTGAACTTGCAAGACACCTCCACACACACGGCACCAACTGCTGCACTGTTAGCCGTCAGACCATTACCCTCCACACAACGCGAGTTGTTAGCAATCTTACTTCCAGGCACGTTATTACTCTCCTCACCACTGATGCAGCTGTAACCTGGCTTTGCCATAATAAAAGGACAGTAATCCATTTGTTCAAGTGGTAGTGAACCAACCTTTTTTTTCTCAGAAAAGTATCGGAATCCCACCGGAAGATCATTCTTAACGGGGTTAGCTCCAATGCTGCTGCAACTCCCCATCGACTGGCGGTCAGATGTGCACTGTAGTGACTCAGGGATATCACCGCTCTTGGCTGTGCAGAACATGTTGGGGAAATCAGTTTCCCCGCTGTTAACGCACTTATTATTCAAGAATTCACACCCAGAGTTATTGCCCCAACTCATCTGTTCTGCCATTTTCCAATTAACTTTATAGTGGCCCAGATCAGCGAAAGCTCCCATTGTAATTGCGGTGTAGTACCCAGCACCGACGAGACCAACCATCAACTCATCCTTTGCAATACGACGACTCCAGTGAGAAGAATATCCCATGTTATCTCGAGGAACTTGAATTGTCTCAACAATACACTCTGTAGTACCCTTTGCAGTCTTCACCTGGTTTTCAGTAGCGCATTCGATTGAGGGTTCAGATGCCATCATTGCAGTTTGTGGGTATAGTAAACGTCTTTTTGATAACACATTTGATGAATGATGTACATTCTGTGTAAACTTGGCAGAACTGAAACCCTCTTCTCCACGTCTCTCTTGCACAACACTGCCAACAGACTCCATCGCTGTCAAACGATCATCCATAGCATTACTGTGTGTTTCTCCCAAGTCGTACATATATTGTACACTTGCAACCTGAGCGTGGACGGTTGATGGTTGTGGTCGTGGTCGTGATGGTCTTGTTATACGTACCTGTGGTCCTTGCAGTTGGGCACTCCTGTCACGTCTATTTCCTGCATGCGCTGTTTGTGTACCTAAACGTGATTGCATTTGCCGTCCTTTAAGAATACTATCGCCACGTGCTGCAAATAGTGGTCGTCTTATCACACTTAATTCCATGCCCTTTGCAGAATCACATTTATAATGGTCTATCGCCTCTCTCCGTGTGTTGTCAGAGGTGACACGCGCAACGTCTGATTTACCTCGCAATGAATTAACTTCACCCACCATACCTTTTCTTTTCATCGCCTCGAAATTGAAACCAAGTGCATGGGCAATCTCATGAGCAGCAACGCGGACACGCTGTGGTGTGGCCACAATATACCGTGGACCGTAATTGATGATCCCAACAACTGGACGGCCATTAGGACCCAATGTCGCACATGTTGCCGCCCACGCGAAGGTTCCTTTAGGCGTTGGGACAGCAGCAGCAAACAGCACCATATCATAATCAGAAATTTCAGTACTTTTATCAGCAGATGTTGGTGTAGTGAACTTGGAACAAAGACTCTTATCAGAGAACTTCGGCACGACAATAGGACCCTTCAAACGCTCCACAAAGAGACGTTCCTCGTGCAGTTTAATTGCCTCAGGAAGAATCTCATCAACAAGAATTTTCTTCTTTTCTGGCGTCAACTCATCATCTTTTGAACAGTTATACGTATGGTGCAATAAGATTTCACTCTTCTTCGCGTCATCCAAACAATAATGTTCACCCTTTTTCAAATCATCAGTGACAAGTTTAATGCGAATCGGTTTCCACCCTTCCGAAGGATCCTCTCTGATTTTCAAAGTTGGAGAGGATCTGCTATTTGCATTGGAATCCCTATGACGGCTTACAGTTGTCATTCCAAGTAAACGATCATCACCATTAAAATCAGCACCAACATGCATCATCACTCTGTCGTGTATGCAGCGGTGCTCTGTCACAGCAAGAGTGACAAGGGTGCAGTACAGAAGGAGCAACGGAGCAAACAATAAGAGACGCCGCATTCCTTCACGTGTAATCTTGAAGGGTTTGTGTATTTGTGTGTCTGTAAGCAGAAGAGAAGAAAAAGAAATATTGGCAACAGAAAATCAAATGCAGGATTGTCAAACAAGCACAGAAGGAAAAATAAGGAGGAAATGGGAAACCATAACCCCACCCATAGAAAAAAGAAAAAGAAAAAGAGAGAGAGAGAGAGAGAGAGAGAGAGACATATGAAAGTAACAGAGAGCCACTGTCAAGCAGACTGTGGATACGCACAATGAACACGTGGCGGGGCCGCATCAGCCCCACTGC